TTAATTTTTATAAACGCTTAAAACATTAAATGCTCATTAATGCATGTACTGCAAACTGTTATTTTTGCTTGTATGTTTTGTCCTTGATTATTGTGGAGGTTAGCAATTTTTCTATTTATGCTAAAAACAAAAAATAAACATGCATGCATCTTTAAATTTTTATCAATAATGATATCAAATGATTTTAAGTCTAATCTATTTTTTTGTTATAGCAACCTTTCTTTTCGTTCTACAGCTAAGTCAACAAATATCACCATTGAAAATTTATTTTCATTGTTCACGTCAACAAACTTGACCTGTGGAGCATTTCACTTCAACTCAATTTCAACATCATCAAGTGCATTAGAATGGTTAATAGGATCATTAATAATCCTCATAATCTCATCTATTGAGCAAAAATCTACACTTGAAGTAGGTGACTCTGCTACTTCATCATTAACAAATTCAATAACACCTTTAGTAAAATTTGTATGTCCATCAGTAGATATATCAACACAATGTGATTCTATAGTTAGTTGTTGATTTAATCTTTTAGTAAAATTAGCTTCAATTTTGTCCAACCTTTGATTCAATTCCCTAATCATTTTCTTCAATTCAATATTCTGCTTAACTCATATCTTCAAGAGAATTTCTAATTTGAGATCATTTAGTTGATGTATAGTCAACTTACTTATATCAAGTGCAGTAGTAGATGTGATAACTTGTTGATAACCATATGAGTCATGTGGTTGTTGTGGATAGTAATCGTAATATATTTAAAAATCACATTGTTGATTATTTTTATATGAAAAATTATTTTGTATTTTTGAAAGAGTTTTTTTTTAAAAGAAACAAGTTGAAAGTTTGTTGGTAGACTTCTAGGAAACATATATGTGTCTCAATGGACAATTTAAGTACCTCATCTTTCCATACCTAAAGTGTTCTCCCATCGGTTTCACAAATTTCCCAATGAAATTCCTCAAACACAAAATTGATTCTTAACAAATTAATTCTTATAAATTAGTAAAACAAAACCAAAGTACATTCTCAATTAAAAATAAAAACTTTGTAGATTAATCATAATAAATTTAACCAAGGTACATTCTCAATTAAATATTAATATTTCTAATCATTTCTATTCTTTTGAAGTACATAGGGGCGAGGGGGGGTTGAATAGTGTTTATGGAAAAATTCTTTTTGCAACCCCTCTAATATAACATGTTTGTCGAGTTTTGGATTTAACAAATGAATAGTTAAACGTTCGACCTTGTAAATGATTATGAATGATAGTTGGTTTCAACGTGTTATTCAAAACATATACTGTAGTGTTTATAAGAATTTCCTTAGTTGAATAAGAATCGTTTAGTGCGGAAGTTTCTTGTATGTGGAAATAAAAACACAGCTACAGATTTTATAAGAAAAACGTTTAGACAAAAAGATGAACAACAATTGCACATGTATTTTTATACTGGATTACTCTAACTGAGTTACACCTAGTCTCCTTTACAGAGGATTCCACTATAATCTTCAACAAGATTACAATTTAATATTTGCACCACTCATGGTCTACTCAATCAGCGAATAATTTCCTGTAGCCTAAAATGGATAAGTATTCGCATCACTCCTGGTACTAAACAAACTTGCCTAAATTTCCTTAACTCCATAGAGTTCAACATATGTTTTAATTCTCTTCAGAACTGCAATCAATGATTGCTTACAAGTCGTTCAAACTATTACTCTCACTGAGAGGATGTAATTACTATACAATGCATTCTAAACACTCGCAGGTGTTTCTCTCTTTTCTCTTTCTCTCTTTCTCTCTTTCTTACAACAATAAGCAAATATTGCAATGAAGCTTGAGAGTATTGCTAGACTTTTTTTTTCTCTTCTTCTGCTCAGATGTTTTCTTTTTTCTTGAGCTTTTCTGTGTTTTTCTTTTGAATACTTTTCTCAAGATGAATATTTTCGGTGTATGTTATCATCTTAATTCTTTATCTGAATGATTTTCCATATATAGGCCCTTGGAAAAATGTTTGTTAGACTCAGCTCTTAGCCTTGATTCTTGTGTCTTCTCTTTCTTTGTGTAATTGTTGGTTAAAGTCAACTTATTAGAGTAGACTTGTTTTTTCAGTTCTTTGCTTAAAGTAGGTTGTACTTCCTTTTAGACACAACTTTAAGTGAAAAACATTCCGTGAATATTTCTTTTGTCTCTAACATCCACTTCGTATTTTTAAATGAAGTATGTGGATGCATGTATAGTAGGTTATCTGGAAATAATATAGTAGATTGTGCATGCAACAAATATGTCTTATATCTTATTACTTTTGTTGTTTTTAAACGTTAAACATTTAATATCATTTAAAGTTTGCTCAAAATAACAAAGTGTTTAACAATTAATCTTTTATAAAGAAACCAAGCGTTGAGTAAAATCTTCATCGTTGGACGAATTAACATTTTTAACTCATGGTATTTTCTAGACTTATGGAAATGCTTAGCACTTAGCATGTTATCTTTTCTTTTGCATTTTAGAATTAGACTTTAAGAGTGTTTTTGTCGAAGATACTATCTTGACACTTTTTCGTTTTTTTCGAAAGTTCAACTGAATACCCTTGATAAATTATAAAAAAAAATATTTTTGATTAATAATTTTTAAAAAAATTCATTCCTAATTTTATTTTTAATCTAAATGTTATTTAAGATACTTTATTTTATTATTTAAAGTGTTATTTTAAGTACATTTGATAGAGAAAAAAATTATAAAAATGAAAATTTTATATAAAAAATATCAGAAAAAAACATTTGTAAGAAAACTAGTTTCAAACTTATTTTTTTAATGTATTTCATACTAATCAAGATCTCTTTCAAATTTTTTTCTTCCTATTTTATTTTATTACTATCAAACAAAACATTAAGTAGACTGTACCTTACTGGACCTATATGTCAAGTACGAGACTTTCAGTGTTCTCTAATCACAGGATAGGTGATTTGATTTTTTAAAAAATTTAATCATAATTAATAATACGGTACGAATTAATCAAAAACCAAATCCAAGATGCAACAATAATTAAATCTAACAAAATTATAGTTAATGATACTAAATCTTGAAACTATAAAATTGTTTGTGCCATCAAATCATGTCCTCACACCACATGTCATCACTTTCTTTGATTACCTTTCCTCAATTCTTCTATTCACACACACCACTCCAACAAGAAACCAAAGTTATCTCCTTAAAACCTTAATTTTATAATTATTAATTAAATTAAAATAATTTTAAAATCATTGGTTAAATTATGATTATTAAGTATTATATAAGCGACGTACTACCACAAATCATTAAGTAAAATTATAAGATTGATTTAATAATAAAATTGGAAAATAAAGTGAGGTTTTAAGTTTAACTCTTCGTTATAATATTTAGGAATTTGCTGTTAGTTTTTAAAAGGAATAGGAGGAGAAATGTTGTGGATTCAATACCTCTTATAACTTAATACTAACAATTAATAGATAAAATAAAACATAACTTATTAGTCATGTTTCCTAACTATTACTTTAGATTTATTTTTATTAAATTTTTGTGATCTATTGAGTCTTCAAAATTTAAAAAATTTTAAATCATGTCCCTATCTTTAAATTTATCTGTTAACTATGCATGTGACTGTTATTTTCTTTAGTTTAATGTTGATGTGAAAATTGACCCAGAATAAAATTTTAAAATTATTAAGTTTTATCCAAGAATGAAAAAGGATAAAGGTGAAGTTACGATGAATTCTCGTTTAACTTCTTTAATTTGTTTTTGTATTTAAAATGTTGCTTTAGTTAAAATTTAATTTAAAATAACTAAATGAGATTGAGATATAAAAATGTGTTAAACATAGATTTTTAATTACAACAAGAAATGAATTTAATAAACAACAGAAACTTATTAAAATGTATTCAATAAGAAACACAAAATCATTCACAATGAATAAGAAAAACCCATTAACAAGGTATTTAATAAACAACATAAACACAATCACAATGAATTTAATAAACAATAAAAACTCATTCACATTAAATTCAACTCTCACCACTTTTTACACCTTACATCATAAAAAGAGCACAATTTATTATATATGGGTTGTTCATTAATTATTACTGCATTTATTATATAACACACATATCTTACTTGAGTTTTAGAAAATCTTTGCAAATACTCCAACCTACGTACCTATAAAATCTCAAACCAATGGAAGTAAGAATGACCCAAAAAATTTATTAATAGACATGCGAGCCTTACCTGTAGATCTTGACTCAACAAGAATATGTTAGGATCACCTGTGGTAAAATTAAAGATAAAATAATGAAGTGATATTGTAATAAAGTAATGATTATCAAATAGTCATGACGAAAGTGTTTCACGGGGATCCTTGAATAAATTTTAAATCTGAAATAGGTTAACACAATACAAAGCAGAAGTATCCCATTAATGTCTGCCACTACTCTGAAACAGGTTGAATCAAAATTAATATTTATGAACTTTATGAATCTGAAAAAAAATGGTTTTTCACTTATGTCAGTCACTAATCTCGATATTACCTCAATAAGTAAAAAAAAGCAAACCCAAAACTGAGACACGTTTAAACATATAATAGTAGTAGTCTATATCATATTATGAATAAACAAATATATATAAAGTTGTGGGGATAACAATAAAAAATTAAGAATGTAATAATATTTTATAGAAATAAATAAGTATGGGTCACATGTAACAACTCGTGTCCCCACGAAACGCACTCTAGAATCAATTCTCAATTCTCAATTCTCGTATCCAAACATACAAAATTGTTCTTAAACAATGTTTATGTTTAAACAATCAATTCTCTTAATTTGTTGGATTAGTGAATGGTACTACACTCCGTATCTTTAAGCAAGATTTTAAAAATTATTAACTTTTAAACAAAAATGACTAATTATTGACTTTTTATTGTTTCTTTAAGAGGATCATTGACTGTGTTTTCAGAAAAAGTGAATTAATGTAAACCGTCAAAAATCGCTTTCGTCGTTTAGCTTCTTCTCATTATTCGGAAACGCCTTATCTTTGCACAAAGGCAAACAAACAACAACAGCAAGAAGCCCAGTTCCAACCCAAACACACCGCATACTCTTCCCTACAATAATCTTCAACATTATTATTCTTCAAAACTAAAAGAAAAAATGAAAAAGAAGAAAATATAGCAATGAGTGATTCATTCTCCACAAAAATTAAGTTCTAAAGAAAGAAATCTTCACTTACTATGCTCCACTGCTTCAACAGTAAGTTGTCTTTTGCTTCTTCAGTTTCCATTCACAATACCTTCTTCATATTCCTCACGATTTTTAATTTCTAATTTTTTTTTATGCTTGAACTCAACAGAAGCAAAATGAATCACTGTGTTCCAGATTTCGAAATCCAAATCGACGATGACGAAGAATTCCCAATTCCCGTCTCAAAGAAACCCTCAATGTAACTCTCTTCTCTTCACTCTAATTTTCAATTCCTTTTTTTTTTGCGCCGAGTAAGTGAATGCGACGACAATTAAAACAGGCAAAACGACGAGATCATGGAACTGTTGTGGCAAAACGGCCAGGTTGTGATGCAGAGCCAAAACCATCGACCACTCAGAAAACCGCCGCATACGTTGGTTGCCGGCGGAGTCTCTCCGGCTAGGGAGATTCGATCCTCTGAAGCAGAAAACTACGGTAACCAACACTTGTTCATGCAAGAAGACGAAATGGCTTCGTGGCTTCACTATCCAATCCACGAAGATCCTCCTCCCTTTGATCACCACGATTTCAGCGCCGACATGCTGAACCCGCCGCCGACAAACGTAATCGCGAGCGTGACTCACAGTAGCGCCGCCGTACAATCCTCCTTTCGCACGACGGAGCTTCGACATCCTGCTCCTCGTCCGCCGATTCCTCCTTCTCGGCGGCCGGTGCCGGCGGCAAACAGTATGCAGAATTTCTCACACTTCTCGAATCACGGCAATTCGTCGTCGAGTTCCAAGGCCACGGCGGCGCAACCGACGGTGGTGGATTCGTGCCAGACGCCGGTCGCGACGGCAGAGCACGCTGAAACCGGTCGCGCTAGCGTGACCGCCGCCGATGCAGGTAAGGCGGCGGAGTCTGGAGGAAGGGAGACGGCGACGTGCGATGTGACGGTGACGTCGTCTCCTGGTGGTTCAAGCGGGAGCGCGGAACCAGTTCAGAGGGAACTTGACCGAAAGAGGAAGGGGAGAGAACCGGAGGAATCAGAGTTTCTGAGCGAGGTGAGTGAGTCAACTCGTTTGTTTTATTTCTTCTCGAACTCTCACACGTTCCATATGCGTTAGTCTTGGCTATCGTGCACCGGGGGAATGACGTGGGTTTACGTTAGCACGCTCCTCTGCATTCTATTCAACTCTATCTCATTACTAATCATCAAACTTTCCGTGTGTGGACATGACTTTGGTGTCGTTTCTCCAACGAAACCCTTAAACGCGGCGCGGTTACACACCGTGATGCCACGTGTATAGTGGAAGATTCAAAACTTCATAACCGAGGAGCAGGGTATATTTGGTGAACGGAGTGGCTCATGTGCATATTTTTACAATTTTACTATATACTATATTCCTTTGATATTTTAAAAAACTCAGCCAAAGGCAATATCTACTAGTAAGGTACGGATGTCAAAATACAAAGGAATTAAGCTGTCATGATGCTGACTGAACGTGAGTTTGGTCAAAATATCTCTGCTTGCATAACAGTTACGCGGGAAAGTAGGTAGAGAAACTAGACAAGCGAAAAACGTGTCAACGTTAATTGATCTAGTGGGCATGAGGCATTTTCCACACTGAAATGAAAACTATCAATTGACGCTGATGTCAAACGAACAACACGAGTAGAGATCCCCAAACCAATGTTCAACACCCCTTGAACAGACTTTTAATGGCGTCGTGCTTTAGTGTTATTATTTGCTGACATTGTTTGTTTGAGTTGTAATAGGTATATATAAACTAAAGTAATGGAATGTAATGGGGATGCAGTTATAAGCTAAGTTATTTACATATCAGGTGTTACTTAAACATGAACTTTTTGATATTGATGATGGTACGATGGTTAACTAATTCCCCATCATGGACTTGCATATTGCCTCCGTTTTGGAAAACTATAAATCTTATATTTCAATTGGTCTTATTAAACAGAATTGTCTTGTAATCTCTCTCATGAGGAGACTCATAATTATGATTTTTCCAGAGTATATTCCGAGGTAAAGTGCCTAGGACTAAAAGATGACTTGGACATGGTTGTGAAGTTTGATGGGGGCAGCGAGATAGGTAGAAAGCTTGGGTTTAAGTTGTGGTACTTTCTAATTTTACTATAAACAAGGGGGATTGAGACTTTGTACGTAAGATTTACAAGTTGGTGGCTTCCCATGGAAGCAACGTTGGAACAGATGAGACGGATCAATAGTTTATCATTTAATAGATAGTGACATACTTGTTGACTCTATTTTACATTTTGTCATCTGTAAAAATTTATGGTATATGTTGCTTCTATATTCTTATCTCCATTGGTTTCACTGCAAAAGGATGTAGATTTTGAATCTCCGGAAGCTAAAAAACAAGGGCGTGGTTCTACATCTACTAAGAGATCCCGTGCTGCAGAAGTCCACAATCTCTCAGAGAGGGTATATACATACATAACTTTCCCTAAACTTCATTCTGTTTTTCTCATTTTCTGAGTAATATATTTCATTTTCATGCAGAGGCGTCGAGATAGAATTAATGAAAAAATGAAAGCTTTGCAAGAACTTATACCTCGATGTAACAAGGTCAACAGAATTATTAAATTTCCCAGTACTTCTTTTTCCTTTTTTTTTGCATGACATTTTATGGTTGCTTTCTAATAGCTCTTTCAATTTTTTATTCCTTTCCTGAATTTGATAGTCTGACAAAGCTTCAATGTTGGATGAAGCAATTGAATATTTGAAGTCACTGCAATTACAAGTGCAGGTAAATCTTATATATACAGTGAAATATTGAATGAGCATTTTAATTGGTGATGGTTAATTTTCCTGTACCCATAATTTATAAAATCTCTTTAAGCATAAAAAAGGATTAAGGAAGAAAGGAAAGAAAAATTAGGATGGAAAAGCAAAGTAATAGACTGTTTCGTTCTTACTGAAAAGTTTAGAGAAAACTTCACGTCTTTTAAGTGAAAGAGGCATGGTGATTTACAGAGCCAAAGAGGTTGTATTTGGAATTATTTTACTTAGATGAAGATTTTAGTTCTATTGATTGAAGTGTATGCTTGTTTCAAAATTGTGTCTCTCTATTTATCACCCATATACTATATATCTATTGGTTACATTATATACCATTCACGTATTAGCTCTTAACGAAAACTGAATGCAATTTATTTATGCAGATGATGTCCATGGGATGCGGCATGGTACCCATGATGTTTCCTGGAATCCAGCAGTATTTGCCGCCAATGGGAATGGGAATTGGCATGGGTATGGGCATGGAAATGGGAATGAACAGACCGGTAATGCCATTTCCCAATATGTTAACTAGTTCAACTTTGCCAGCAGCAACTGCAGCTGCTCATTTGGGACCGAGGTTTCCCCCTGTGCCTCCTTTCCATATTCCCCATGTTCCTGCCCCTGATTCATCCAGAATGCCAGCACCAAATCTGTCAAATAATAGTATGCTTAACGCACTTGGTACGCAAGGTCCAGATCAATCACGTATCCCAAACTACACTGATCCTTATCAGCAATACGTCGGCCTCCAACAGGTGCAGTTACAATTAATGCAGGTAAAGTTGTCTTTAATGCTATGTTGATGTTGATTTTTTCGGTTATTTTTATTTTGGGGCGGGGCGGGGTTTAAAGCTACCTGAGGGACATCATATCCCAGCCACCGTTACATCATCTTCTTTGATGCATCGTCCTAACACAACGCATTAATTAGGAAAACTCGGCTTGTTCCCATGGCTCCATCCCAAATATTCCAAGTTGTCATTAGAGAAACGATAATGTATCTTGTCTTGTAAAGACTTTCAAAAACTCCTAACGCTTCCAACTTTAAGAGTACTCACCCTTCTCCTACGTGCTTGTACTCCTTAAGATGGAAAGAGATTATGTTCGCAGAAGATACTCCAACACTTAAGTTAGTCACAAATAATAAATATGTAATTAATGAAATGTCATTAACATACTTCGTAAAATGTGTTATTTATACTTTAGGATTTATTTTTACCTAGATGAGTTTGGATCTATTGGTCCAAATACTTGTTGATTTCTAAATCATTATAGTTAATCATGAGTTATGGTGATTAAGTGTCTTGTATGGTTTTATATTGACTGAAGAGAGATGAACCGAGTACATGTCGACTTAGTATTATGACATGTACTTGTTCAAGGACGAGATCTATACTATACTAGTATGATTGAGGGTACTCGGTCACATAAATTACACCATTCCTAAACTTTACATATAACATGTCAAAGGCTTCTACGAATCCCAAACTTTACATGTAACATGTTAAAGGCTTCAACGAATCTAACATGAGTATCCGTGTTCAGTTTTTGGCTTGTCTATCATAATATCCATACCTGATAGTTGTCTTGCAAAGTTTGAAAAGAAAATTGGTATTTTTGAATATATAAACTTATATGTATACAAGTCATGATCGTAATACCCTTCTTGAGGTGAGTTAAGTAGCTGGGAAAAATCTGTTGTTTCGTGCACATCACAAATAGGCCAAACTACTTATCGTACACTTTGTCATAAAAATGACTTTTTTTTATATTTCTGTCATCTACTCCCGATTTTGTTCTTAGTACCCTAACTGGAAGGTTGAAAAAACAAAAAGTCAATAGGGTTGGTAGTATACCGCTTTCTTTATATTTGGGTGAAGTGTTTTTGTTTTTTTTTTTGCTTTTCTAATTTGCACAAAAATGCGAACGTTTATGTTAACTTTTTGCATACGTTGAATCAGGCAATGAACCAACCAAATGTGAGCAAGCCCAGTACCAGTAGGGGTCAAGAGAATCCAGAAAAACATCAGTCAGGTAAATTGCCATTCTAGTCTTCTCAATTTAATTTGTTCTTAATATATTTATGAAAGATACATGCTATTTTTTGAAATCCAATTGGACCGCTCTTGCCTTTAGATCAACGTGGTAGTGCGATTTTAAGTATATACGAACAGACCTCTTTTTCTACTACATATTTCAGACAAGTCACAACACTATATGTCAATAAATCACCCTCTTTCCTTTAACATATATTTAAATTATACTTCTTTCTAATTTAAAAAAAAAATTGAATTGTCTTCTTAGTAGATAGAAATAAATATGAATTACACTTTAATTTATAAAGAAAACTATGAAACAATGATAAATAATTACGATTGTGTCCCAACAATATTCTGTCTTTTCCTTCAATTTTCGTTGTCATTACTAATTTTAATACTTTGGTGAAAAAATTTAACTTCTACCATTGACTATAAAATTGACTGCAAGAAAAAAAAAACTTATCTAGGTTAAAATGGACTCTTTAAATAGACACAAAGGAAACAAGTATTCATCTGTTAAGAGAGGGGAAGAAAAATGTAGGTACTTTGAGAGAAATGTAATTTACTATATTTGTTATGTAACTCTTGATGGACATTATAAACGAACACTAATGTCTAAGGTCCGTTGTTTTTTCTTGATATTCAGAAGAAACATGATTGGTTGATATTTACAATCTAGAGTTGACAATTCAATTGTGCTGCTCACTGTTGGATCGCTGGCACAAGGTAACTCTCATGTCAGGGGATTGTAAGTCTCTTTAGAGAGATAGTGCACAAGAGAATAATAAGTATCATTGAAACCAACTTGTGCACATTGCAGGTTAAGCTTCACCGGCCCTATACAAAAAGCAGCCAAGTGGTGTTTTAGAGAGAGCTAACTTTTTAGCAGTTCTCAGTAACAAGCTAATCAAATGGCTAACATGTAAATTATTTTTCTGTCCCCCTCCTTTTACTCTGCACTTTTTCCTCCACTTAAACCTTCATTCTATTTTAGAAATTATATGTTACGGCAAGTCTAGTTCTTTATACACTTTACAATAAACGTAGAAGCTCCTCTCTGTTTTCCCTATTTTCTTTTCTATTATCTTATCAATTTTCTACCGCCAGACATTCTTAAGCATATGGACGGTGATTATTTATAAGGAAAAATAAGTGAAAGGTTAATGATTTATTATCACAGATTTTTTTTATAATATTTTGACATACACAGTACATGTGTCATTTTTTCATTGAGTTTAGAATATGTTAGCATAGTAACAAATAAATAATAAATCAATCATTAATATATTATGTCAAAATGTTATAAAAAATTAATGTACAAATATATTTTCCTAAATGGTTAAAAGTAGCTCTCATTTTCATGCCTCCTGTCTTCTTATATGAATATACAAGAGCATTGAATACAGAAAAGAAAAATAATATTTTGATATATATTTAATATTATTCTTTCTTATTTTTTATTTTTCTTTTTTTGTAAAAAAATACAAAATTTTATTATTTTACAACCATTTCATTCACTTTTGTATTGTATGTTAAATGAATGTACAAATATATATAATATTATTACTTTACAGAAAATTCTAAAATTTATAACGTGAGCTATAATATAAAATTAAAATAAATATTAGTATATAATATTTACTCTTTTTACATATTTTCATTATAACTATAATGAAATTTAATATTATTTTAATTATTATGTTTTATTTGTATTGCTACAAAAATTAAATAAAGAATTGAAAAGTATGTAAGAAGTATTTATTTGAAGCTTGATAAATGTCCTTTTCGACTAAAATAGAAGGTACATTTTATATTCATATTGTATTTCTTTTCACTAATAGACTATTCATAAAGGACTGTTTTATTCTACACCTCATATTTTTTATATTTATTTCTATATTTTAAAAATAATTTTCTTTAACAAATTTTAAAATTTATTGACATTTTAAAAAAGAAATTAACAAATTTTAAAATCTATTAATGAAAAAATTCAACAAATTTTAAAATTTATTGAAGAAAAAATTCTCAACAAATTTTGAAATCTGTAAAGAATTTTTGAAAACCTTAGCGAATTTTAAAATTAATAGAGATTTTAAAAATATTTTTTTTAGTGAATTTTAAAATTTGTTAAAGGAGAAATGTGAAGTGTAAAAGTATTTGAAATGTAAGAATAGTTTTAAAATTTGAAAGAAAAGTTGGAAGTGCAGAAAGAAATATGGAGTGATGTAAGGAGAAACATTCTTCACAAATATGGAAATGTGAGAATGATGTTTGTTTTATATGCACATGTTTCAGTTTGGTCTCTTGATGACATGAGAAGAAAGAAGGAGAAATACAAGTCCTTTTTCTGCACAGCCATATAAACATGTAATAATATTCTTGTTTGGTCTTCATTATTACTATCTTCGTGGTTGGTTGTGCTTTCTTCTTCATCCTCCCTTTATTTTATGATTTATTATTTTTGCTTATTTTGGTTTGAGAAACTAATCATTGTTCCATCTGAATTTTGTTTCGCAAAATCTTCTATTTGTTACTTAAGTGTCATTGTTGCTTTTGCTAGTTAGTGACATCAGTGCAATTTTTTCAAGCACGTAATTGATTACGGATGTTAGAATTATTTGATTAAGTGAATTTTTTTCTGTCAATGTAATCGATTATACATAACTATGTTTGTTGTGTTTAGTTGGACATAATAATATGTTATGATAGTGTTAATGATTTGCCCTCATACTCAAATGTTATCCAACAACAATGTTAAGGTCGAAGAAAGTTTTACTATATTATATAGCATATGGTTGTCATGTAACATAATAAAATAATTATAATAAAATAATAGTAATAATAGTAGTACAATTATAATTTAAGCATTAAGTAAAATTAATTTATAATAAGGACAATTTGGTCAATTTATTAAATATATCATTAATGGTGTTTTTTAAACTATATTATGACTTTCAATGAATACTAAGATATAATTAGTGAAAGTTAATTGACATGATTCACATGTTGTCTCATAAAATATTTAACTCAAAATCAATCACTTCACCTTATTCATTTTTTATAAGGTAAAAGTTTTGTATTCCAACTTGATCTATCATGGATTTGATAAATTAAGGAGTTAACTCATTTTAAACATATTTTTTCTTGTTTTATATGGTAATTAAAAATCAAAATGATAATTAATAATTATAATAAAAAATGTTATAAAAAGATTTTTGTGGTGATATATGTCAACTCATCTTCAATATAGTTCAAACTTATTTAAGTAATAAATTAAGAAACTCACATTTGATAAGGTTCCATTTTAGCTTAACTTAGTGTGGTGTTAGATTAAACAAATTTAAAGAATATTTCTACTTAACATTAAGATAATCAATAGATTATTTGGATGTGAAGATGTACTTCTAAAATAGATTATTTAGTATGTGAAGATGTATTTCTAATCAATAAGAAGAAGAGAATTCAATTAATGGAAGACATAAATGAACAAGTAAATGGAATAAGCATATAACATAAGAACAAAAGGAATAAGAACAAGAGGAAGAAGAACTTGAATTTAAATAGAATAAAGGACGAAGAAGACAAAAGATGAGATGGGAGAAAGTGATCACCCGATTTGGAAGTATAAAACCATCTAAGATAAGTAGTGGTAGTGTCACCATTGAACCTATGTTCAAGATAAAACAATGGAGTTTCAAAAACACTCTCTAAAACACTCATTCACTCAAAGGTTAAGCATAATAACTTCATTAAACATCTATTTACAAGTGATAGAAAAGTCTTCTTAAATAGGCAATGAAAAGGTCCTCCTTAACAAATACTAAAGAGGAGAAAAGGTAACCTAGCAAAAGATAAGGGCTATCTAGCAATTACAAAAAGATCTTTTTAGAAGCTAATAATGAGATGGGTTGCCCATGTGTGGAGAATATGCTCTCAATCATTGCAAAATCATCAAAAATGTCATTTTTCTCCACCAAGTGTCCATGTGGCCCCCTCTTGTGGTCCCTTCCTTTTAGATTCTCTCATTTACACTTTTATAAGGTCTTCTTAGCAAAAGATAGGTTTGGTGAGTATAATTTCCTAAGCTATTTTTCTTTTTAACCTTTCATTCTTCTACAAGGTACAAGGTGACAATCTCAAAATAAGAGTGTCATTAGCAACCTACAAAATAAATACAAAAAGAAACACAAGTCTAGAATTTGTTCTAAAAAAAAGAAATTAAACCAAAGTAAAAGAAAGAAGGTGAAAAATTTTCACTCCTGATTAAGTTTATTTTTTCTAAATATGTGACTTTATTGTTGATAAAGGTTAGGAGCTCATCACAATTTGACCTATATAAAAAAAAAATCCAACTCACTCCCACTCAAATCGGTGATAGTTCATAGTTCTAAACTCATTCAAATACCCCAAAATAAAAGTTACACATTGGTGGGATGGATACGTTGAACAACCTGTCATTTGGTATAAAAAGAATTCGGGAATTATTTTATTTTTTATCTCAACCAATAGGAATGGTATCATTTATACTTTTTTAAAATTAAATAAATAAAATTATTTGAAAGTTATTAACCCAAATATATAATAAAATAAAACGTTTATCTTTAAATATAATTCAAATAAAATTTTCATCATAAATTATTAAAAAATATTTAATTAATATTTCTAAACACATTTTTAAATAAATTTCCCACCAAAATTTAAGTCTAAATGAAATGAATCTCTTTAAAAACAATTTTAATTTCATAAATCTCAATAAAAAAACATAATTCTACTCTAATTTTAAAAAATTATTCAATTCTCAACCATTTTATTTTGATTAGTTGATTCTAAAACTTTATTCCATTAAAACTAACTAATAATTTAAAAATATTATCATTGAATTTTAAAATAAATTATAAGCTGACAAGAAAACATAACTTATATACATATGGCATTTTAATAACAACATATAATAAATATTCAAGAATATTTATATCATAATAATTAAAACATACATCAACACAACATATCTTTTGTAGACTTTACTTATAGATATATACGTGAAAGTATTTTTGTGTCCCTGCAGCATATTCTTGGTTACATGAAAGTATTTTTGTGTCCCTCCAGCATATTCTTAGTAATGAACCTCATGAATATTATTCGAAACCGTTCTAATTTTTAACAAATAAATCTCCATGAATATAAATAACTAATATATACATATCTTTATCTTTCGGTCTCCATTTTAATACTTGTCTTCACTCTTATCTCCATTTTAACTCGCTACAACACTTTTAGTTTATTAGATAGTTTATCAAAGTTATATTAAATTTTATTTGATCCTTGATTTCATAACTTACTTTTACTCTATTATTTGATATTTATATACTTATACTATCTTTCTTGGTATTTAATATTAGAAGAAAAAAATATATTTTTCAACATAACTTAATAATGTTTTCTTCTATTCTAATATTTATTTTTTTAAAATTATTTAAGTAATATTTAAAACCATACAATACCATCTACAAATATGTTTGCTTCTCAGTACAATAAAAGTAGGACAAAAAATTGACATCCAAAATAGTGATGGAGATAGGAATAATCAAACCCGCATAATTATTATCCCTACTATAAGAGTACTTAATGGAGAGACAAATTTAAGAAAGCTCTTACAAGAGCTATAATGAACAACTTAGTTTTCTTTTGTGGACAGGCTAACGTAGTACATCTGATATGGTATCAATCATATGTTCACTATAATTTCTGAATCATAGTCCATGGGTATAGTAGTATATCTGAATTCTGAATACCACTGGGTTGCGCTACAGCTTTAGAAGAGATTGGTAAATTGACCTCAGCTCAATCAGTTAACTATTGATTAACAAAATTAACTAAAGCTTTAAAAATTACAATTAAATTTTATTGTTGTGTTATATTAATTGCATTCAGTAGTACTCCTATAATTTTCTCCATCTCCAATTATTAGATAGCCAACTTGGTTCACGTACCA